AATGAATACATGACTGTAACGCTGATGTTCCTGCAGCTCCAGGCGAAGGTGTGCTCGCTGACGGAGGCTCTGCAGGGATTGGAGCAGAAGAAGAGGCAGCTGGAGGAGAGTCAGGACGCTCTGATGGAGGAGGCGGCCAAGCTGCACGCTCAAGGTCAGTCGCCATGGTGATAGGAAACGCTGCTCTCTAATTGGCTGACGTTCGGTTAACATTGAACACATTCAAAACACCAGACGTGTGTGTGTGTGTGTGTGTGTGTGTGTGTGTGTGTGTGTGTGTGTGTGTGTGTGGCCTAGCATTACTATACTTGTGGGGACCTACATCTGTCTACACAATCACGTGTGGGGACTCGCCTCCCTTATGGGGACAAATTGGAGGTCCCCATGAGGGGGATCATTAATTTTAGGGTGAATACTTGGTTATGGTTAAGGTTAGGATAAGTCTCCAGGAAATGCATGTAAGTCAATGTAATGTCCCCTGAAGTTGTGTGAGGTGTGTGTGTGTGGGTGTGTGTGTGTGTGTGTGTGTGTGTGTGTGTGTGTGTGGTGTGTGTGTGTGTGTGTGTGTGTGTGTGTGTGTGTGTGTGTGTGTGTGTGTGTGTGTGTGTGTGTGTGTGTGTGTGTGTGTGTGTGTGTGTGTGTGTGTGTGTGTGTGTGTGTGTGTGTGTGTGTGTGTGTGTGTGTGTGTGTGTGTGTGTGTGTGTGTGTGTGTGTGTGTGTGTGTGTGTGTGTGTGTGTGTGTGTGTGTGTGTGTGTGTGTGTGTGTGTGTGTGTGTGTGTGTGTGTGTGTGTGTGTGTGTGTGTGTGTGTGTGTGTGTGTGTGTGCAGGTAAGATGCAGCACGGGAAGGTGACGGATAAAGAGAAGGAGCACATGAGCCGCCTGCAGGACGCGGAGGAGATGAAGGTACGGGTGGATCTCAGTAACTGGTAAAGTGTCCCAGAGCTTCTGTGTTGTGATGGTCACAGGGTTTAGTAAAGAAGGCTATTCAACAGAACAGTTTGTTGTTAATACCTACTGCAGGTAAACCTGTTGTTAATAATGACGGTTGATATTAAATAATTAAGTGGGGTGTGTTGCCGTGCAGAGGACTCTGGAGGAGCAGATGGAGAACCATAGAGAGGTTCATCACAAACAGCTGAGCCGCCTGAGAGACGAGATCGAGCTGAAGCACCGAGAGGGGGAGCGCCTCAAAGAGTACGTGTTACATATATATTACATCATGTCTGTTATATACAGGGTGCAGACTAATTCAACCAATACAAATAGTGAAATAAATAACAAGAGAAATAAAAAGAGAGAATTGTTAGAAAATGTTCCCAACAACAATGTCTTGAGAAGAAGAAGAGTCTATTTCCATGTGAATGGAATATAATATTTAGATAAATAAAGAGGCAAACAGGTGAATGTTTATGGTTGTTCTTTACAGAGTCCAGGTATTTAATAGACTGAATTGGGATGAAACTGTCCCTGAGTCTGGTGGTTTTAGTCCTGAAACTGTCCCTGAGTCTGGTGGTTTTAGTCCTGAAACTGTCCCTGAGTCTGGTGGTTTTAGTCCTGAAACTGTCCCTGAATCTGGTGGTTTTAGTCCTGATGCTGTCTCTGAGTCTGGTGGTTTTAGTCCTGAAACTGTCCCTGAGTCTGGTGGTTTTAGTCCTGAAACTGTCCCTAAATCTGGTGGTTTTAGTCCTGATGCTGTCTCTGAGTCTGGTGGTTTTAGTCCTGAAACTGTCCCTGAGTCTGGTGGTTTTAGTCCTGATGCTGTCTCTGAGTCTGGTGTTTTAGTCCTGAAACTGTCCCTGAGTCTGGTGGTTTTAGTCCTGAAACTGTCCCTGAGTCTGGTGGTTTTAGTCCTGATGCTGTCTCTGAGTCTGGTGGTTTTAGTCCTGAAACTGTCTCTGAATCTGGTGGTTTTAGTCCTGATGCTGTCTCTGAGTCTGGTGGTTTTAGTCCTGAAACTGTCCCTGAGTCTGGTGGTTTTAGTCCTGATGCTGTCTCTGAGTCTGATGGTTTTAGACCTGAAACTGTCTCTGAGTCTGGTGGTTTTAGTCCTGAAACTGTCCCTGAGTCTGGTGGTTTTAGTCCTGATGCTGTCCCTGAGTCTGGTGGTTTTAGACCTGAAACTGTCCCTGAGTCTGGTGGTTTTAGTCCAGATGCTGTCCCTGAGTCTGGTGGTTTTAGACCTGAAACTGTCCCTTAGTCTGGTGGTTTTAGTCCTGAAACTGTCCCTGAGTCTGGTGGTTTTAGACCTGAAACTGTCCCTTAGTCTGGTGGTTTTAGTCCTGAAACTGTCCCTGAGTCTGGTGGTTTTAGACCTGAAACTGTCCCTGAGTCTGGTGGTTTTAGTCCTGAAACTGTCTCTGAGTCTGGTGGTTTTAGTCCTGAAACTGTCTCTGAGTCTGGTGGTTTTAGTCCTGAAACTGTCTCTGAGTCTGGTGGTTTTAGTCCTGAAACTGTCTCTGAGTCTGGTGGTTTTAGACCTGAAACTGTCCCTGAGTCTGGTGGTTTTAGTCCTGAAACTGTCCCTGAGTCTGGTGGTTTTAGTCCTGAAACTGTCCCTGAGTCTGGTGGTTTTAGTCCTGAAACTGTCCCTGAATCTGGTGGTTTTAGTCCTGATGCTGTCTCTGAGTCTGGTGGTTTTAGTCCTGAAACTGTCCCTGAGTCTGGTGGTTTAGTCCTGAAACTGTCCCTAAATCTGGTGGTTTTAGTCCTGATGCTGTCTCTGAGTCTGGTGGTTTTAGTCCTGAAACTGTCCCTGAGTCTGGTGGTTTTAGTCCTGATGCTGTCTCTGAGTCTGGTGGTTTTAGTCCTGAAACTGTCCCTGAGTCTGGTGGTTTTAGTCCTGAAACTGTCCCTGAGTCTGGTGGTTTTAGTCCTGATGCTGTCTCTGAGTCTGGTGGTTTTAGTCCTGAAACTGTCTCTGAATCTGGTGGTTTTAGTCCTGATGCTGTCTCTGAGTCTGGTGGTTTTAGTCCTGAAACTGTCCCTGAGTCTGGTGGTTTTAGTCCTGATGCTGTCTCTGAGTCTGATGGTTTTAGACCTGAAACTGTCTCTGAGTCTGGTGGTTTTAGTCCTGAAACTGTCCCTGAGTCTGGTGGTTTTAGTCCTGATGCTGTCCCTGAGTCTGGTGGTTTAGACCTGAAACTGTCCCTGAGTCTGGTGGTTTTAGTCCAGATGCTGTCCCTGAGTCTGGTGGTTTTAGACCTGAAACTGTCCCTTAGTCTGGTGGTTTTAGTCCTGAAACTGTCCCTGAGTCTGGTGGTTTTAGACCTGAAACTGTCCCTTAGTCTGGTGGTTTTAGTCCTGAAACTGTCCCTGAGTCTGGTGGTTTTAGACCTGAAACTGTCCCTGAGTCTGGTGGTTTTAGTCCTGAAACTGTCTCTGAGTCTGGTGGTTTTAGTCCTGAAACTGTCTCTGAGTCTGGTGGTTTTAGTCCTGAAACTGTCTCTGAGTCTGGTGGTTTTAGTCCTGAAACTGTCTCTGAGTCTGGTGGTTTTAGACCTGAAACTGTCCCTGAGTCTGGTGGTTTTAGACCTGAAACTGTCCCTGAGTCTGGTGGTTTTAGACCTGAAACTGTCCCTGAGTCTGGTGGTTTAAGACCTGAAACTGTCCCTGAGTCTGGTAGTTTTAGACCTGAAACTGTCCCTGAGTCTGGTGGTTTTAGTCCTGAAACTGTCCCTGAGTCTGGTGGTTTTAGACCTGAAACTGTCCCTGAGTCTGGTGGTTTTAGACCTGAAACTGTCCCTGAGTCTGGTGGTTTTAGTCCTGAAACTGTCTCTGAGTCTGGTGGTTTTAGTCCTGAAACTGTCTCTGAGTCTGGTGGTTTTAGTCCTGAAACTGTCTCTGAGTCTGGTGGTTTTAGTCCTGGAACTGTCTCTGAGTCTGGTGGTTTTAGACCTGAAACTGTCTCTGAGTCTGGTGTTTTAGTCCTGATGCTGTCTCTGAGTCTGGTGGTTTTAGTCCTGAAACTGTCTCTGAGTCTGGTGGTTTTAGTCCTGAAACTGTCTCTGAGTCTGGTGGTTTTAGACCTGAAACTGTCTCTGAGTCTGGTGTTTTAGTCCTGAAACTGTCTCTGAGTCTGGTGGTTTTAGTCCTGAAGCTGTCTCTGAGTCTGGTGGTTTTAGTCCTGAAACTGTCTCTGAGTCTGGTGGTTTTAGACCTGAAACTGTCTCTGAGTCTGGTGGTTTTAGTCCTGATGCTGTCTCTGAGTCTGGTGGTTTTAGACCTGAAACTGTCTCTGAGTCTGGTGTTTTAGACCTGAAACTGTCTCTGAGTCTGGTGGTTTTAGTCCTGAAACTGTCTCTGAGTCTGCTGTTTTAGACCTGAAACTGTCTCTGAGTCTGGTGGTTTTAGTCCTGAAACTGTCTCTAAGTCTGGTGGTTTTAGTCCTGAAACTGTCTCTGAGTCTGGTGGTTTTAGTCCTGAAACTGTCCCTGAGTCTGGTGGTTTTAGTCCTGAAACTGTCTCTGAGTCTGGTGGTTTTAGTCCTGAAACTGTCCCTGAGTCTGGTGGTTTTAGACCTGAAACTGTCTCTGAGTCTGGTGGTTTTAGTCCTGAAACTGTCTCTGAGTCTGGTGGTTTTAGTCCTGATGCTGTCTCTGAGTCTGGTGGTTTTAGACCTGAAACTGTCTCTGAGTCTGGTGGTTTTAGACCTGAAACTGTCTGAGTCTGGTGGTTTTAGTCCTGAAACTGTCCCTGAGTCTGGTGGTTTTAGTCCTGAAACTGTCCCTGAGTCTGGTGGTTTTCGACCTGAAACTGTCCCTGAGTCTGGTGGTTTTAGTCCTGAAACTGTCTCTGAGTCTGGTGGTTTTAGTCCTGAAACTGTCCCTGAGTCTGGTGGTTTTAGTCCTGAAACTGTCCCTGAGTCTGGTGGTTTTAGACCTGAAACTGTCTCTGAGTCTGGTGGTTTTAGTCCTGAAACTGTCTCTGAGTCTGGTGGTTTTAGTCCTGATGCTGTCTCTGAGTTTGGTGGTTTTAGTCCTGAAACTGTCCCTGAGTCTGGTGGTTTTAGTCCTGAAACTGTCTCTGAGTCTGGTGGTTTTAGTCCTGATGCTGTCTCTGAGTCTGGTGGTTTTAGTCCTGAAACTGTCTCTGAGTCTGGTGGTTTTAGTCCTGAAACTGTCCCTGAGTCTGGTGGTTTTAGTCCTGAAACTGTCTCTGAGTCTGGTGGTTTTAGACCTGAAACTGTCCCTGAGTCTGGTGGTTTTAGTCCTGAAACTGTCTCTGAGTCTGGTGGTTTTAGTCCTGAAACTGTCTCTGAGTCTGGTGGTTTTAGACCTGAAACTGTCTCTGAGTCTGGTGGTTTTAGACCTGAAACTGTCTCTGAGTCTGGTGGTTTTAGACCTGAAACTGTCCCTGAGTCTGGTGGTTTTAGTCCTGAAACTGTCTCTGAGTCTGGTGGTTTTAGTCCTGAAACTGTCTCTGAGTCTGGTGGTTTTAGTCCTGAAACTGTCTCTGAGTCTGGTGGTTTTAGTCCTGAAACTGTCTCTGAGTCTGGTGGTTTTAGTCCTGAAACTGTCTCTGAGTCTGGTAGTTTTAGTCCTGATGCTGCGGTACCGCCTGCTAGATGACAGCAGACAGAACAGTTTATAGGGTATAAACATTTGTGTGTTACATACAGCGTGTAGGGGTGTAACGGTTCACAGAATTCACGGTTCGGTACGGGTTCGGTACAACAAGAAAAAGAGAAGAACAGTCCCAAATGTATAATGCCAGGTTTGTTTTTCATTTATTTTTAACAGTAGTGCACGTTTCAGTTTAAAAATAAGGAGAACTAACATTTTGAATAATTAACTTTATTACACAGTTAAAAACAAACAGTAGCACACACACTCAGATGGCCATATAATCTATAATGGCTGATGCCAAACAAAAAGGTTCAATAAGCTGTAAAACTAAAAAGAATGTCTTTCAAATATTACAAAATAAATAATAAGAAAGTGTTTCAATCACTTTCTATCACAATCACTAAAAGCCGGGGTCCTCTACTATTGCATAAGGGCGAAGCATAGCCGTTGAAATATATATGCTAAAAGCAGTGGATGAAGCACTTGATGGCGGGTCATTCAGCTGATCCTTTGCCACTCCAGTTTATCATTGTAACTCAATCTTGAAAATGACTCGGTTAATAATTTCGCAACGATGTCATCGCTATCACTGAAGTGAGCCATCATGAACGAACTTATGCTAATCATAAATCTATCGATCATAAATCTATCGATTAGATTTATGATTCTAAAATAATAAAAGTAGGGTAGACATGTGGATATTATCCGGCTGAACACAACGTGCATTTATCTAACAGGTTCGTTTTCCACAGACCTTATTTCCAGCTATTTTCCAAAACCCTATGGAGAAATCCCGTTGCTTTCTGTCGAGGGAACCCGAGCGCAGCTTACTTCCGGGTTTTAGGATGCGTCACTGCACCACTTGCATAGACCTCACAGCGGACGGAACTTGTTATAAAGTCCGCGAAAATAAAGCCCACCCATTTAGAGGGAAGATGTGATTGGTCAATTGTACTGTCATTTGACATTACTCTCTCGTTGAGTTACTATAGCAACCCTCTGTGAATGTAGAGAGGGACCAACAAGCTCTCCCGTCTTCACAGTAACTCGCAGAGACGGCATTTAACCCTTCACATTCCAACAGAAACTGAACAGGCAGATTCGAAGGATTTATTTCTTTGGAAATGTTATTTTAAATATAATTAAATCAAGTTATTTTGGTAAAACTAATGAAACATTTAACAAAAACAATATATAAAAAATGATATATAAAAAAAAAAAAAAAATTATTTTAATGTTTTCAAATATTATTAGCTATTAGCTATTATTATTATTATATAATATAATATAATAATAATATTATATTATTATTATTATATTATTATTATTATTATTATTACTATTATTAGCCCTGATGACTCGCCACTGGCCAAAAGCTTCCGTTATTTATTTTGGTCTCTCGGCTCTCATGTCTATTGGCTTCTTAAAAACAGCGGGGATCAGCTGTTGAACTGCTGTTGTCTTTTGCCGGGCTCCGGTGATTGGCAAATCTGGGTGATGCCTTCTGATGTGATTTAGCATGTTTGGCGTGTGTTTCTATTAGCATACCGCACCGCTATACAACAACGTCGACACACCGTCCTCGTCCGATCCACCACTCGCACACTTCATCGTTATTGTAGTCCACAGGGAACCCGAAATGTTCCCACACAGCTGATTTAAAAGAAGCAGGTGGCTCTAGCTCCTGTGTGTTATCTGAAATCGCCATACTAACTTTTCTTCTTCTTGTATTTTGCTCGTTTTGTTGTGTTTTGTTCTTCTTCTTCATTTGTTGTTTAAGGGCGGCAGGCAAACAGCTTTTAGGCGCAATACCACCCCCTGGATTATAAATAGTGTAGTGGATACTGCACTGAATGACTTTTTTCCCACTCGTAAAAAAAAAGGCGTATTCGTCGTGTGACTGCATGTGCCGAACCGTGACGCCACGGGACGAATACGAATGCCGTTACACCCCGAACAGGGTGCAAACTCAAAGAGTCCATACATATTTCCATCCATCTTCTCCCGCTTATCCGTGGTCGGGTCGCGGGAGTAGCAGTGAGAGAGCCAGCAGAGAGCCCCAAACTTTCTTTTCCCTGGCCACATCAATATCAATACCCATACATATTTATGAAATTATATACAGTATGATAGTGAGCATGCTGATGTGATGTGTTTCCTCAGTCTGACCCAGGCTCTGCAGCTGGAGGTCAGGAAGCTGCAGTCAGACTGCGACAAGCTGAAGGCTGAGGACCACAACAAGGAGCAGAAACTGCAGAAACTCATGTGAGGAGCACAGCCGTCCAACAATGCATAATGATGATAATATCATGTGTAAGATATAACATCAGGTGTTTGTGTTGTGAACTCTCAGGTTCCTGAACGAGAAGAGGGAACAAGCCAAAGAGGACCTGAAGGGTCTGGAGGACACGGTGGTGCGTGGGTCTTATATCTTTATTAGATGTCTCCTTATTAGATGTCTCTATATTAGATGTCTCATTGTGTCCTCCCACAGGCCAGAGAGCTGCAAACTCTGAACCACCTTCGGAAAGTGTTCATCGAGGACCTCGGGGCTCGAGTCAGGAGCGTAAGAAAACTTTTTCTACCGACCATTTATTAAAACAACAGTTAAATACATCAACTTTGAAAGAGTCCTCTCCTGCTGATGTTCATGCTTTAATGTTCGTGCTTTAATGTTCGTGCTTTAATGTTCACGCTTTAATGTTCACGCTTTAATGTTCACGCTTTAATGTTCGTGCAAACGCTCTTACATGTTTCTTAATTATTTCTGTAATTCTGAGAAAAATGTGAAATTCTTAAAAATAAATTACATTTTGTTAAAGAAATTATATTCTCATACAAATTAGAAAATCTAGCCAAAAAAAAGCCAAATTATGAATTAGACATTTTGAAAAATCTGAGAATTTAGAAAATCTGTCAAAAATGTATCAAGTGAAATTCTGAAAAAAGTGAAATTCTGAAAAAAAAACTCTGTTTCTCTTGTTGTCTGGGAGGTTAGTGAGAGGTTAGTGGGAGGTTAGTGGGAGGTGAGGGAATGCTCCGGTTTTGGGACAAAATTAACATGGGATCACTCCGGTCATTGTACGTACTTCGTCTCACTGGAATATTAACGGTCAGATTGAATTCAACATCGACCCAATTTCTCCGGTCAATGACGGGAGAGTTTTGAAAGTTACAAAACACTAATTCACACATTTAAAAACACTTAAACAATGTTTACCCAGGATTCAGGCACCTTCCCTGGCTTGTAAAATGTGGTGATGCGCCCTGGAGGTATCAGACTGTTTAAAACATGTATACCCAGGATTCAATCACTGTTCCTGGCTTGTAAAGTACTGTGAAGCAGCCTGTTCTCTGGGTGCAGTCTGGGTGCAAGAGCCATGTGCTGCAAGGATCTCTCTGGGTGTGCTCTGTGGCTCTCACAGCCCGCTTCTCTCTGGCTGCTCTCTCCCTCTATTCACAGCACTTTTCCCCAGCTTTCAAAGACTTATTGCTGGGTGGAAGAGCCATGTGCATCACCCTGGGTCTCTGCCTGTGTGCCTGAGAGTGAGACCCTGCTAACAGCAGTGACTCTGCTGTACTTATCTTCTTGTACATTTCATGAGTCAAATGTGGATGAAATGGACAGTTTCCTGTCCATATGACCGGCTGTTTATGCGGTCAAATGTGCATTGGAATTAAAACAGTTTAATGCACTTTTAACACTCATGTACCCACGATTCAAGCTGCTTTCCTGGGTTACAAAGTGCTGTGAAGCAGCCTGTCCTCTGGGTGCAGTCTGGGTGGGAGAGCCATGTGCTGCAAGGAGCTCTCTGTGTCTCTGTGTGAGTCTCACACCCTGCTTCTCTCTGGCTGCTCTCTCCCTGTATTCACAGCACTTTCCCCTAGCTTTCAGAGACTCATTGCTGGGTAGAAAAGCCTTGTGCATCACCCTGGATCTCTGCATAGGTGCCTTTGAGTGTGAGACCCTGCTAACAGCAGTGAACCTGCTGCCAGCATTACGAACATATTAATCAGGCGTTTTAACACTTTTTCCCATGAAAATGATTTGTATTCACTATCATGGGGCTATATAAATCAAATTCCGGGTAATTTGGAGCACAATTGTACCTTTTACTATTTAAATGTTTTGTATTATATATTTTTGGGCTATAAAAGTGACATTTCTGGGTGACTTTGTCAGTTTATGGAGCTTAGCCCACAATTCCTGGAGGTTCCAGGCCGAATTTGGGAGCTCATAGGCGGCCTGTCATGCGCCCCCACCCGTGGAAAGAAGAAAAAAGTAAACAAAACGGTCAATTATATCTTAAAATAATCAAAAATGAAGTTTAAAAAAATTCTCGAAAAAACGACTAATACCTCATTCACACCAACGGTGTTTCAGGGCCGGTTCGGAGCTGGAGCTTGAAAAGCACCGGGTTTTCCTCTTCACACCGCAGCGGAGCAGCCTCTTAGCTCCGGAATCCGGTTCGCTTCAAGCACCAAAAAATTGTCCGGCCAGCACAAAAACACCGCATACGTCACGCTTACGTCGAGGCGGGGGCAGAGACAGATCAACTCCTGAACAACAACAAGCCCGCGTTTTATCCAGTTTGTACAACGATGGAGAAACTTAAGAGTTTCAGAGTTTCTGCCATAGACTGTATATATAAAGGTTTCTGCTCATGGTGAAGCAACGTGTCTGCGTGTTAAGGTGGAACCTGAGCATTCACGTTGATCACCTCTCATTATAACTCATTATAAATCTATAAAACTATAAATATTAAACTTTACGTCACGTGTTCATTTGAGAACAGCTCTTACATACCTGGGTGAAATAAGACCGACCTCGGAAGCAGTTGTGTTTTAAAAAAACCTTTATTGACACGAGTACACTTTTTTATAAGAATATAACTAAACCACAGAAATGACTCCGGAAAAGCTGCAGATAGAGCCATAAGAAATGAATGCAACTGATTTCATCCGCGCGATTTGGCTTTATGAAGCAGGCACGCGAACGGTTACGTCATGACGCAAACGATGACGCAATGACGCATTACCAGTCGGACTCTGGGCGGTGTGAAAAGAGCCAGAGCTAAACCGAAGAACTGGTTCTGAACCTGAAAAGCTCTAGCACGGAGCTTGAACCGGAGTTGCGTTGGTGTGAATGAGGTATAAGTGCCAACGGAGGAGGGGCTCATAAAAACTCAACCCTTCGGCGCTTCGGGCCGAAGCCCCGGACACTTTTCTACTCCCCCGTTGCAACTTACAACGGAGAGGGGAATCCAAGCCTCCCCTTCTCCGTCAAAAAAATTCATTCATCATTTTCAAACTACTGTCTGCACGAAATCGGAAACCTGGTTTTTGAGAGGACTCAGAAAAAAAACGGCTGTTTCACTTCATGGAGGAATGTGTCCGCTCCATGAGTGCTCTGGCTCGGATACAATTGTTGCATGGAGACTCCCCCAGCATGGTTCTTACCAAACTTTATGTTTTTGAACTGGTCTCTGGAGGAATGTAAGGGGAGTTGTCAGGGGACTCTATCCGCCTTATGAGACACTATTTTCGGATACATTTTTCCATTTTCACCCCTTTTCTATGGTTCTCCAAAAAGTTAACTCAAACTTTTTCTGACTCTGGAGGAATGTAAGGAGGGTTGTCAGGGGACTCTATCCGCCTTATGAGACACTATTTTCGGATACTTTTTTCCATTTTCACCCCTTTGCTATGGTTCTCCAAAAAGTTAACTCAGACTTTTTCTGACTCTGGAGGAATGTAAGGAGAGTTGTCAGGGGACTCTACCCGCCTTATGAGACACTATTTTCGGATACATTTTCTCACTTTCATCCCTTTTCTATGGATCTCCAAAAAGTGAACTCAGACTTTTTCTGACTGTGGAGGAATGCAAGGGGAGTTGACAGGGGACTCTTGCGTGCTCATGATGCACTATTTTCGGATGCTTTTTTTCATTTTCAGCCCTTTTCCATGGATGAAATGAAACTTATTTTTTTAACATTTTGGTCAATTTGACCCAGTTCTGGTAACGCATCACTCTATCACTCTTTCCTCCTTTGACCATAAAACGTGTTTCCTGCTGGGGTACTGCCTGGTTTCGGAGCACCCCAAACCCTCTCATGGTCGGGGCACCATGAGTTGATGCATCGGACCCAATGTTGCCATCACCAGCCCCGCGTTGGTCCGGATGTGGGACCATTTTGCCCGGTGGTAACCCAAGTCCTCCGTTGGTCCGTGTACCAGGCATTGAAGCATCGGACCCATTGTTGCAATCACCGGTTACGCTAACGCATATAAACGGAGAAACAGAAAATAATTTAAATACAATTCACTGTGTCTGTTTCAAGGAGGCAAGAGTAAACCCTCTCCTAAAGAAACCCACTCTCAACCCGTCTGATGTTATAAACTACAGGCCTGTCTCTCTCCTCCCGTTCCTGTCTAAATCACTTGAACGCGCTGTCTTTAAACAACTCTCCTGTTATCTCAATCAGAACAACCTTCTGGATCCGCACCAGTCTGGTTTCAAGGCAGGTCACTTCACAGAAACTGCTCTCATTGCTGTCACGGAGGAACTGCACACTGCCAAAACTGCATCCCTCTCCTCTGTCATCATCCTGTTGGACCTGTCTGCTGCATTCGACACGGTGAATCATCAGATCCTCCTCCGCACTCTCCAAAAACTTGGAGTTTCTGGCTCTGCACTTTCCCTCCTCACCTCATACCTCAAAGACCGTACCTACAGGGTGACTTGGAGAGGGTCTGAGTCCGACCCTTGTCAATTAACTACGGGGGTCCCTCAGGGCTCTGTTCTTGGTCCCCTCCTCTTCTCCCTGTACACAAACTCGCTCGGATCAGTCATTAGCCCGCATGGTTTTTCTTACCACTGCTACGCTGATGACACCCAATTAATTCTGTCCTTTCCCCGCTCAGAGACCCAGGTCGTTGCACGCATCTCTGCTTGTCTAGCTGACATCTCTCAGTGGATGTCTGCTCATCACCTCAAGCTCAACCTTGACAAGACTGAGCTGCTCTTCCTCCCGGGAAAAGATTGTCCCACTCTTGACCTAACAATCAACATCGGCACCTCAGTTGTTTCCCCGACTCAGACTGCAAGGAATCTGGGTGTGACCCTAGATAACAACCTGTCCTTCACTGCAAACATCGCTGCTACAACCCGTTGCTGCAGATACACGCTTTACAACATCAGGAAGATACGTCCCCAGCTGACTCAGAAAGCGACTCAGGTTCTGGTCCAGGCTCTCGTCATCTCACGCCTAGACTACTGCAACTCCCTCCTGGCTGGTCTACCTGCATGTGCCATCCGACCTCTGCAGCTCATCCAGAATGCAGCGGCTCGTCTGGTCTTCAACCTTCCTAAATTCTCCCACACCACTCCGCTCCTCCGCTCCCTTCACTGGCTTCCAGTAACTGCTAGAATCCACTTCAAGACACTGGTACTTGCGTACCATGCTGCGAATGGATCTGGCCCTTCGTACATCCAGGACATGGTTAAACCGTACACCCCAGCACGTGCACTACGCTCTGCATCAGCCAAACGACTCGTTGCGCCCT